AGAGTGGCTAAACTCTTCAGAATGATAATTGCATGAATTCTTGACACCTTGTCAATCTGGACGCAAATAAGTATTAAACCTTGGAGGAATTGGTGTTGTGAGGTCATTTTCAAAAAGAAATGGTAATAAATCTGAATATGAGATTGGAATTGGAATGAGAGGTATCATTTTCTTTTTGCCTTTCTTAGCTTTCTTCAATGGCATTTGAACCTCTTCTATGCTTCGCTTTAGCTTGATATTTGTTGCCTTTTCCGGGAGCTTTATTGGATTTCCACATCTCTTGACGAGTTCTTGGTCATTTGTTTCTATTGCATCAGCTACATCATTCATAATCCCATTCAAATCTTTCACAACAGGATCCTCTAAGGGTTTCTCTCCATGGATTACAATATTCAACAGGTCTATCAATTTGGTCAGTTGTTCCTTTGAATCATTCTGGAATTTTTTCACTTGATCAATCATCTTTTGTTGTATCTCGATAAATTGCTCTTGCAGTTTCTCAATTCTACCAACCCTTGCTAAAATCTCATTCATGGCTATTATCCTTCTTTAGGAAGACCAAGTTAACTCCACTTTGATTTCAAAATTCTGTCATGGAATTCTCCACAAATTATTCCAATTGTCATGATTAAATGCATGTAGAATAATTTGAAATAAAATGTAATTATGCAAATATGCAAATGCAAAAATGAAAATATAAATATAAACTTAAAAATGAAAAAAATGCAAAATGCAAAATGCAAAATGCAAATTTAAATATGTGAATGTAACAATAAAAATGCAAATTGTGTAATACAAAAGTAAACATAAAAGTATAAATGAAAATGCAAAGATGCACAATGCAAATGCATGTATGAAAAGGTGTTACTCAAGAGTGATCATCTTAGAACAGATTTCATTGAACACAAAAGTTTTCGTGCATCAAACAAAACTTTTACATGTAGGGGACAACTTTCAGTACTATCTAAAACTTTACATATAGGGGATAACTTTCCCTCATAACTTCTCTAAAGCCAAGTTAGTTTCTATTCATGCTCAACAATTGAGTTATCAGTCTGCTTTAATTCTTTGTAAAGTCAGCTTGGTTTATCAGTTTATGGGTCATATTGCTTGTTTGGACTGCAGCTTCTTCCATGACATTCTAGTGTTTCTTCATCTTCTGTGTCACTTCTCGGAGTTGCTCATTTTCCCTTGTAAGAGAACTTTTTTGTCCAAGAAGTTCTTGGATTAGATATTCATATATGTTGCAGTTCTTTTTCAGTTTGGTAACCCTTGTTATCCACTCTTCTGGGGTATCTCCTATGCCAACATTTTGAAAAGCTTGACTGATCGTTTGGAAATCTTCATGCATGGTTTCCACTTCTGTGCTCAATTTCTTGTTTTGGTCATTCAAGTCCTTCAAATAACATGCTTGAGCTTCATAAAAACCTCATCTACTCTGAATGCCCTGACTGATACTCTTACCATAGACTGCTTTTGGTATCAATCTGGCAGGATCTTTGTGGAGTACTTTTGGTATTAGGATCTCTGTGTGCATTACTTGATTCTATCCTCGGAGTTTCCTCAGGATGTCTTTCCTTGGCCGCATCATATTTTGTTTGATCATAAAACTTTTTGTCCATTTACGATTTCTTTCCAATTTGATGAACAGTCTTTCAAGTCAACACCTTTTGGTTATGTCATGATCATGTAATGCAGGCACAAAACAAAAGAAATCAATATAAACAAGTTAAAACAAAACAAAATGTATGAAAAATAAAAATGAGAAAGGAAATAAATAAATTGGTAAGTACCAATTAATGAAAAGAAAATATTCTACCTATCATGGTATATAATATATCCTAACCTCATGCTTTCTAGTTCCATGCTTTGTTTGGAAAAATTAACCTAACAACATGATTCCTAATTCACAGGCATTTATTTAGAGAGAAAAATAATAAATTAAATAAATTAAAAGCTAGAGCTTATTTCTCCTTTGTGTACACCTATGGACAGGGTTTCAGTACTTCTTAGATCAGGTGAAGTGCTAGGGTTTATTATATACAGGGTTTCAGTTCTAGGAGTAAAGGTATCCGAATTGTCCTTGTTAGTGCCCCCTTGGGCTGCTAACCCTCTATTCTAGTCCATCACAGACTAAAGTGGATCGAGTTCAATTCGAGGGGATACACTTCTATATGCCTGACACGGAGAATAAATTCTCACGAAGACATAGAGCATATGTATCCCAAAAGCTACTTGCTAGGTCTGACACGGAGAATAAATTCTCACGAAGACGTCGCTTTCACTCCCACTTAAAAGGGACAAGCTTGATTATAAAGCTTATGTTATGCAATGCAAGTGTTGTGTGTGAGGAGAAATATTCAAACCTTTGACAAACAAATAAATAATGAAATTTAATACATGAAAATAAAATAAAAAAATATATATAAAAATAATATACATATAAATATTATGAAAATAATAAGTATATATAAAAATTTTGAAAAGAAAGAATTATAAATTAAATATATGAATTTTTAATTTCTAATTAATAGAGACAATTTATAATTGATTTTAAAAGCTTAACCAGTCCCCAGCGGAGTCGCCAAGCTGTCGTAACCGGTTTTCGTCCGGGCACGAAATTTTTACTCGGTGGGAAAAGTGATGTGAATAAATGGTTTTTAAAATGTTTTGGGAGTCGCCATCGGCCTTTTGGGTCAGGTAGGTCGAATACCTAAAAATTATCTTTTAAAAGAGTTTTTAAGAAAACATCAGTTAAAAGATAAACTAATCTGCTTTTTTAACCAAAGATTCGTTCTTTTTAATAATAAAAAGGGATTCGTGGTCGATTACGTTTGGGGAAGGATTAGCACCCCCACAACGCCCAAAATTGGTACTTATTAATTATAAATTGTCTCTATTATTGGAAATTTAAAAATTCAAATATATATTTAATTTATAATCATGTTTATTTCAAATTTATAATTGTAAGAAAATATATTAATTTATATATATTAATAAGATATTTATTTATTTAAAAATATCAGAAAAGGGCATCTAGGTGCTTTAAGACAACTCTTTTTTTAATATTAAAAAATAAATAAATATTAATAAAAATGATTAAAAAATAGATTAATATATATAATTTATAAAAGTAAAATATTTATTTTTTAAAAATATCAGAAAATGGACATCCAGTTGCTTTAAGACTGTCATTTCTTAATATTGAAAAATAAAAAAATATTTAAAATATGATTATTATTCCTAAAAGTAATTTATATAAAATTAAATTTATAAAATAGGATATTTATTTAATAGAAACCAAATAAAATAAATAGTATTTATTTATATATATATATTTATATGACTAAATAAGAAGAAGAATAATAATAATAATAATATTGAAAATATACATATAAAATAAAATATAACTAAACAATGTCTAAAACAAATAAAATTTAAAATAATAGGATTAAAATGCAAAATATAAAAATTAATAGAACTTATAATTAGTGATTAATATATTAAAATTAAAAGCTTTTATTCAAAATATTTATGAAATATAAGTGATTAAAAGTGTAATTTACCCTAATAATTAACACATGATTAAAATAAATTTGTTTAAAATTAAAATGATTAATCATGATATTTTACCTTAAGTATATATTAATTTAGTGACTAAAATATAATAAATTAAAATTTAAATGCAAAATTAATATGCTCAGAAATGAATTTCAGTGACTAAAATGAAAGGAAATAGAAATTAGCATGCAAAAATTGAAATAAAATAAATAAATAAAAAATCAGTGACTAAACTGTAAATAGACTTCTAAATTAGAGGGATTATTTCATGATTAACCCTTAAAATAAATGAACAAAATAAGAAGCTCCTAAAAACCAGTGACCTTGTGTGTAGTTTACCCAAAAAATAAAATGATAACAACTCCCACTTTTTTTTTCTTTCCAGTAACGTGTTCCCTTCTTTTTCATTTTTCTCCTTTCACTCTCCTTTCTCTCTTCTTCTTCTTTCAACTCAGTAACCCAAAGCTCTCCTCTCCTTGGCTCAGTCGAGAGCTATTCAACGCCTAGGCATCGACACCGACCACCGTAAATCGATGACCAAACACTCTTCCGATTATCCCACACAAAACCCGAACCTAAAAATTTATCCTTAAAAATTTTTTTAAATCCCGATTTGGGATTAAACTACCAAAAACGAGACTGAAAATCTCAAGCCTTTCTCCGATTCTTCAACCGACGTTTCTCCGGCGACCTAGACTCCGACGAAGAACTATGAACGAGGTAAAATCGTTCCTTTATATTTCTATTTTTTTATTACTGATTTTTGTATTTCGAAAAAAATAAAATATGAAATACCAAACTGAAAAATAAAGATCAAATGTAAAAATAACCTTTGCTTTATTTTTGTTTCTGATTTTCTTTGTATTGTTCTTGATTCCTCTCCCTCTTTACATACTGTTATGGGGTTTTTATAGCCACAGTTTACATGTAAAAAATAAAGATTTACATTATGTTATTTTTTGTGATGATTGGCTGATTCATAACGTGGAGCAAGGGAGGCCGTGGGAGCTACCGACGACGTGAAAGTTGCTGAAACGTGGAGGGACAACTGTTCTGGTGTTGGAAGCTATTGGAACACTGTTGTGGTGGAGGGACAGCTGTTCTGGGCTTGCTGGAATATGCTGGAGCTACAACGTGGAGATGACTACTGTCAAGGTAAAAATGGTGATTACAGGATGAATTCAAATAAAATTTTAAAGTTAACCTCATTAATAAAATAAATAATTAAAAAAATCAGATTTGACGAGTGTACACACTCGGGCCTCAATGGATCTTTAACTCATTAAAATATTAAAATTTAATTCAACAATTCAATTTTAATATTATTTCTTACTTATATTAACTTCGAATGACTGTACAGCAAGTTGAAATACATTTTGGAGAAGTATTTTATATATACATATATATATATATAAACAGAAAAACACCAAAAATTATTGGCAAGACTTGAAGCGTCCTTTTATCCTTTTTATCTTCATTCTCAAATTTTCTCTATCATTTCCCAGAAACTGCTTTCCCCTCTGCTTCACCAATCGATCCTAGCCAATGGCCAACAGTAATCTCCCTCGAAGAATCATTAAGGTTCCTCTTTCGATCTCCCTCCGATCTTTCTTGATTTCTTCGATTTAGTTGTTTCACGAGAAACCTTTCATTTTCTTTTTTCTTTTATGGGTTTCTACAGTTTCGGTTTGATAGTTGAATTGTTTGAGCTTTTGATGAATTAAAACCTTCATCTTGTGGTTTTAGGACCGTCTACTTACATTGGATAAGGTTTTTTTTGGGGGTGAAGTTTGTTAAATTTTCATTCTTTAATTTCGGTCTCTTTACCTTTTGATCTAAACAGGAAACTCAGCGTCTCCTCAGTGAACCAGGTAAATACTTGTTAAATTTTGTGCAATATTGGTGGTTTAATTTAGTATTTTAAATGTATTAACTTTCTTGGTTTCTTTTTCCTGTTAACTATTTTTTTCTCCCAGCACCTGGAATTAGTGCTTCGCCTTCGGAGGACAATATGCGATACTTCAACGTGATGATCCTTGGCCCCACTCAGTCTCCGTATGAAGGTAGTTGTTCTTTTTCATCTAATGGTTGCGAATAGTTTTGCTGTGTTTTAGAAATGTCAAATTTCTGTTGATTGCTCAAAATTATGACTGATTTAAGTTAAAGAGTGATATCACCGCCAATTTTCGGTCATCCAAACATCACAATACGGATTAGGTAGGATTTTTTTTTCTAAGAGAAAATGGTTACGCAGTGTTTTCTTTACTTCCACCCCCTCACCCCCGTGATTTTCTATCCTTTATAAGTGAAAAATGGACCCATGTATTCAATCTTAAAATCAGTTCCAATCAGCATGCTTGTCTTATAAAGTGATTAGTCTGGTTTCTGAATGTTGTTTTTGGTGATATTTCATTGCTTTCTTTGTTGTTTGTTTCATCTTGTAATTAATTTTTCAATTAAGGATATAATGCATTTTCTTGTTTTGAATATCTTGTTTAGGAGGGGTTTTCAAGTTGGAACTATTTTTGCCAGAAGAATATCCCATGGCTGCTCCCAAGGTACTCAACTTTTCAGGATTGTTTCTTAATATTTAGCATAACCTTGTTTTTAAACCCCGTTGTTGTATGCTGTATTGTTGTTCCTTTGATATTCAATATTGCTTGGCTTCATCATGACCTCATCTGAAAATGTTTGCATTTAAAACTATTTTTACTTGCTTCACATTTTTCTCTGGCATGTTTTTACTACTGTATTTAGTTTCTATCACTCTATGGGGTCTTCTTGGTGATTACAAAATATAATTACATTTAGATGGTTAAATTGTTAATCAGTGTTGAAGAAAAGCCTGAATTGTATTATATATTGACTACTTTGTGTACCATTACTGCATCTGGTTTCCATCACTCTCTGAGGTCCTCTTGGTGATTACAGAATATAGTTACCTTTGGTTTGTTAAATTGTTAATCAGTGTTGAAGCAAAACCTGAATTTTATTTGTATTGATATTCCGTGTATTTTTGGATGCCCTCTCCCTCTCTCGCAGGGACTACATTTATGCCCTTTTTTTCCTAAAGAATTGAAAATTTATATAAATAATCCTATTATCAACGCACCTGTCTATCAGAAGCCTAATTTCCTAGAGCAATCATATACCTTACATTCTTTGATCACTAATAGCAAAATTTCTCCCAGCTCTACAACTAGTTGGAGAAATTTATCTATGGCTTGAACTTCTGTAATTTGTAGTTGGCTTGTAATGTCAGTGTCAGCAGAATGTAATTGTAGTTTTCCATTTTGGTATGGCCGAATTAAATATGCATTATTCTCCTTTCATTTTATAACCTTAAGGTTGTACTTGCTTTAATGGCATTAAATTTAAAGGAATATGTTGATTGGTATTCAATCATTGCTGACAAAAGTCATCAATTCCTTTCATTTTAATGGCATCAAATATGCATTGGCTTTCCAAAAGTCATTGCTGTGACATTATTACTGTCTTAGCCTCTTAGCTTCTATTACCTAGGTAGCTGACACATTTTTGGGTTTTGAAAGTCTTACTTCTACTGGGGAAGAACATTTATTCACTGAACAAATTGCACTTGATGGTAATGATATAATTTCTGCTTGTTTTCCTAATTGGTCCCTGTATGGCTGATATGATGGTAGTTGAGACTTTGTTGTCTTTCTCTGCTTGGTGCTTTGATGGTCTGGTTTCCCAAGATTGGGCATCTTTGTCCCGTTTATGGTCGTTGGACATAATTGTTTAAATCTCTTGCACTACATGAGTGTAGTATATTCAATAGAATTGTTAACTGATACTAGTTGGCATTTCAGCATTATGTTGTTTGCCTCTTTTCTTGGAAATTTTCTTCCATTTTCCTTATGTATTTTCTATTTTTATCAACCTAAACAAATTTGGTGAGACAGGTTCGATTTCTTACAAAGATATATCATCCGAACATTGATAAGGTTGGGTCCACCTGTTCCTTCTTTGTTCCTTATTTTATAGTGTGAAAGATGTGTTTTCTTGGCTCTCAAGGGTTGAACTTTCTTGCAGCTTGGAAGAATATGCCTTGATATTCTCAAAGACAAATGGAGTCCAGCTCTCCAGATCCGAACTGTACTTTTGAGGTATTACAAGTGTTTGTGAAATGAAGGTAGATATATTATATAGAGTGAACATATTGTCACTCATCGGAAATGATATGTTGCATATCGTCAGAAGATTTTCTGGAAAATTAGGTAGTACAATTAAAGCTAATAACGACATTATTATCTTTATTTCAGCATTCAAGCACTCTTGAGTGCTCCAAATCCTGATGATCCACTCTCTGAGAACATTGCTAAGCACTGGAAAACAAATGAGGCTGAAGCCGTCGAGACAGGTAAAATCTCTGGCCCCAATCTTAAGATCATCGGTACTACAAAACAAATCAACACGATGGTATTGGTGCCATCCTATGATTGACTGTTCTTGATTTTCGCTTGACAACTTGCAGCTAAGGAATGGACCCATTTATATGCGAGCGGCACATAGTATACAAGTGGCAGAAACATTTACACTGTTAAAAATAATATTTTGTGCGATTCAATGTCGATTCTATATGGAAATTTGGAAAGATTTATATGTTTGGTAAAGTTTGATATTCACAAAGCTTCCTGGTTGCTGTCTGTTAAATGTTTAAATGTTTCAACCCCAATGGAAGTACTCTGGATTTGTATGATAATATAACATTGCTCTAAACTCTCAAATGCTGAAGTAAGGGCTATGTTCTGAGATTTGTTACGAGTGTGATTAACATTATTCAGGTGCCTTTTTCATGGATTGGAACTTATATAGAACCAAAGAATTTTTAACTGGGAGATCAAAGAATGAAGATTGGATTAAATTTGGGTTTCTGATTTAAGTTTCAAGTAATGAAGGATGAATTTACTTATATTGGAGTGGAATTAAGTTAGTTTTATAAACATGCGCATTTTAAATTCATATTTTATTATATTAATGGTTTGGTTGTCTGCTCTAATAGTATAATTGTATTTGTATGGAAATTTTTACATCGATAAGCGTGCACATTAATTTTCTTTAGATAAAATATTGATCTGTCCTCTAAACTTTAGAAAAAGTTAATTTCATCATTAAATTTTAGATAAAATATTCATTTGACCTTTTTGAATCCATTTTAAAAAAAATTCATCAATGGTCATCGTTCATAACTGCCATCGATCACCACCACAAACCATGAAATTCTATGTCATGAATAAGTATATTTTATGTTTAATTTTGTGATATATATATATATATATATATAAACCATCTTATTGAGCTTCTTAAAGCTCACTTTATTTGTTGACCGTATTTTCTAGGAGTTTGTTGTGAAGTCAATCTTCAATATCTAGCCATGTAAAATCTTTGTTTTAAAACACTTAGGGTGGTGGCATGCATGTTAGTTTATTTTGAATATTAATTCTGCCTTTTATTTCTTAATACGTTAATATTATGTTTCCTACACTTATGTTTACTATGCAAATTTAACATATTAAGTATGTGATGTATGAATTAAGTTTAATGTATTAGTAGTTTTATAGTATGTAGAATGTTGTTTGAGATATAATGAGTTTGTTTGATCTATGTTTTGACAAATTTGATATGTTAAAATCGCGTCTAAATATTTGTTGCGTTATATATATATATATATATATATATATATATATATTAATGGTGAAATGGTAAACCCAATGTGGTAATGATGGATGGATGATAGATTAGTCCCTGATTAGAAAAGTATGTTAAGAAATATGTTGTGTTGTAGTTCGAATATTTGAAAGGCGACGTTGATAAGACTAATAATCAAACTTGGTAAATCCCTAAAATGATACGTGATATTAATGTTTGTATGATTATGGAATGATGTGATAAACTATTGTACATTCCTTGTATGTTGGGTTAATGTTGCATGTTGAGGCTAATTTTATATTAAAATATGTTTTTTATATTTTAATGATTAAATAAGTTTCTAGGGGGTAATTTTATGTTTAAAAAAAGTAAAATTTGTGTTTCAGAATATTAAGTTTCGAAATTTGGAGATTTGATTTTCATATAAAATAGTTCAAAATATTAAGTTTCGAAATTTGGAGATTTGATTTTCATACCAAAATGTAAATTTTTGGTATCAATTTGGATATTGGGTTTCAATATCCAGAAGGTGGGTTTCGAAATTATTCTATTGATTTTGAAACTGATAGGCCTTAATTTGGGAAATATATATAATCCCTTTTGATGATTGTAAATTTTATGGGATCCTTATATTTGATATATTTGAGAATTTAGTCCTTAATTTTATGATTGATGATTATGTGATTGTTTAGTCAATTTAGTTCTAATTCAATTTTAATTAAGTTTTGTTCAGTCAATGTGATATATTCGACCTAATTTCTCACTATATCGGGCTAGAGTGTTACATTTTTATATTTTAATATTTAAAATTTTAATTTCTTAATTTATTTTTTTAAATATTACATAAAAATCAGTTAAGCCATCGAACAACCTATAAATTATATATTCAAGATTTAAATTTATTTTTTTAGAGCTGATTAGGATTGTAAATGAGACGAGACAGATCATAAGCTACTAGATATTGATTATATCAACATTCAAATTCAATGGACTCCACAATACTCCAGCTCGACTAGCCTCGTTTATAGCTCCAGCGTTGGTTTTTGAAAAATTATGCTCTAAAACTCGTTTAACACTTTAAATGGTTACATAATATTTTTTAGGCGTCAACTTTAACAAATAAAAATTAAGCACCTGAAACAAACAAAATATATATTTCGAAGACTTATTTTTCAATTAATTTGAAATCCTTATAATTATTCTATCATCGGAGTTCAAGAACACATTCTTTCATTGAGAGTAGACTGCAACTAGAAAAGAAAGAAATAGCAGAGCGAGAAATCATAAATAAAGACTTAGGTGGTGTTTGTTTTTGAAGAGGTAGAATGTCTGCAGTCTGCGAACCATGTCTGCAGCATAAGAGGTGGACCAAAAGTCTGCAAGAAGAAGATTATTTATTTTTTAACGTCTGCAGACTGCTAAAATAAACTGAAATATAAAATAAACTGATTTTCTAAACTTAAAAGAGTTTTGCAATATTGAAATTTAAATAATTTTAGTTTTATAATACTGAAATTTAAATAATACATACAACTACAATAATAAATTTTTTAAAATAAATCAATTCATATTTTAAAATAAATCAATCCATATTTTAAAATAAATTAATCCATATTTTAAAATAAATCAATCCATATTTTAAAATAAATTTTTGCATATTTTAAAATAAATCAATCCATATTTTAAAATAAATCAATCCATATTTTAAAATAAAATTTTCTATATTTTAAAATAAATCAATCCATATTTTAAAATAAATCAATCCATATTTTAAAATAAATCCATCCATATTTTAAAATAAATCAATCCATATTTTAAAATAAATTTTTCATATTTTAAAATAAAGTTTTCATATTTTAAAATAAATTTTTTCATATTTTAAAAATAAATCAATCCATATTTTAAAATAAATCAATCCATATTTTAAAATAAATCAATCCATATTTTAAAATAATTTTTTTCATATTTTAAAATAAATCAATCCATATTTTAAAATAAGTTTTCCATATTTTAAAATAAATCAATCCATATTTTAAAATAAATTTTAAAATAGATTTAAATGATTTTAATTTTGCCGCAGACCTTTGGAGACCTTTGAAGACATAAAACAATGTCTGCACCAAGAAGAGCTCGCGCAGACGTTTGAAGAGCTTATGTCTTCTAAAAAACAAACGGTCTACGAAGCCTAATGTCTGCGCATGGTCTACGCGGCGCAGACATAAGAGGTTTAAAGAGGTTGCACAGTGAAAACAAACTAAGCCTTATTCTTGAAGTTATAAGAATATTTATCGAAAGAATTCTTTTTGTCCTTCCAATTGTTATTACGAGTAAGAAAGAAGAGATTTTCTTGTTAGAATTAGTATTTGGGTTTGGGTGGTGAAATTATAGCTTCGATTCAACATCAATGAAAGAGGCAATTGAGTCGCCTTAAATTGGTTCATAATATGAGGTTAAATTGGAACTTGGATCTAGACCATGTTTATCAACGCTTGCTGTGGTCGATTTATCATCTAGACCTTCAATGATATTGAATCGAAGATATAAGCCTTGGAACCGAAATCTTAATCCCAACAAGAAAATCTTTCTTTTAATTATAATAACTATTGGAATGCCAATAACATTTCATTTGATAAATATTCTTAGATCTTCAAGAATAAGTCTTTATTTATGCGTTATCGGTATGCAATTTCTTATTTTCTTGTTTTTGTTATAACCAAACCATAAAATATGAAAACAATGAAGATCTAATCATGCTAAATCATCAAGAATAAATACTAGATGCGGGAGAATACCTGAATTAATCGACAAGTTGAAATACTTGCATATTTATTTGGTTTTGATATTCCAAGAAGATATGTTTGATCTTGGGTAAAAAAATTCTAACGGGATAAGAGTAATACAATTGACCTATTTCTTAGGTCTCCTACCTTTTTATATCTAATGAATATTAGGTTAATCTATTTAGTATTTATAATTCTGTCCCTCATTAAAATATAAATACGACTTCAGATATCTACACTTTAATTCCATGACACTTTAATGCATATGACATATGTAGCATAATTGGTCGGTTAATTTTGTGTCATAATTTATGATAACATTGTACACTATACATATGTGCTCATAATTATGGATTTTAATACAACAATATCCCACTATGATGACATATGTTTCTTAACAAATGTACAACCTTATGAACTTAAAAAATTGCTATCATATAATACATATTCTATAATAATATCGTTTATCAACAATATCCATACAGGTTTAAAACAATCTCCGTTGTATCAATCATGATAAGACCCATCAATGGCCACATATACAAATACAACTAAATTACATAGATACATAATGAAGTGTAGCATGAAAACTACATGCAATGTGAACCAAACATGCCTATTTTTAATTGGTCATCTTTAAATATTAATGAGATCAAATTTTACCAAAATCAGAGTGTAAATAAACAAATACAAACTTTATTTATATAGAAAATAACCTTACGATAAATATCTTAAATTGAAGTAAATAAAATTATGTCTATAACAAATAAGCATTAAAATTACAAACTCCCATTAAAACTAAATATCCTCAAATGATATTACACCTACATGAGTGGTGTGTTCATGAAAGGCTTAGGGTGATAGGTCCTTGAAAAAAACACAATCTATAAACACAAAAACACTAAATTTTCTTTTTCAATTAAAAGCTTAGTGCCTAAGTGCTTAAACATTATTTTTTCTTATTATATATGGAGTAAAAGACTACAAATTTAGTGCCATAAAATAATTTAAGTGATCTTTCTATTCAATCTATAATTAACATTTAATGTGACAAAATTTTGTATTCATATTGTAATAAATCAGAGTGTATAAACCTAATGATCTCTTCCTTATTAGATCGTCGATGGGTGAGCATATAATGTTTTTGTTCTTAAATATATCATATGAATCAATTTATCTACTATCTAACGATCCACACTCAAATTACATAAATATTTGCTTAATATCTTAAAATCATATGATACATTTGATTGCGTACAAGTATGAGTATACATTAAACTCTATTTATTTTTGAAGCATAATGTACCTATTTTTGTATTTTTTGA